CGCTGATCCCAGTGCTGGGAGGCATATTACCCTTTACTATATAGGATAGAGCCAGGGGGCCGGCTGGTTTGCCCTGAAGGGTGTCCTGGATCAGGGTGGGGGTCCCCACTGGGGTGCTTGGCCAGTCTGGGTGAGGGGCTGAGGGCTGCTTTCAGGCTGGCGGTTGTTGACTGAAGCTCCCAACCGCTCCTTTTTTTCTTTTATTTATTTTTTAATCTGGGCCAGCTTTAGCCCTGGCTCTAGCTCTGAGGCTTCCACTGCTGAAAACAGGTATCTGGTTTGTTTGCGTTCTATAATCAAAACAATGTATAACTCCAGCTCTGAGATCCTGGCTGGCTGAAAGCTGGTTTCTGGGGTTTTGTTTAGCTTCTATATTTGTTAGAATGTTTCAAACTGCCAGCTCAGAGGCCGGCAAGTCAGGCGGGGAACGTTGGAGTCTGCAGTCACTGGAGGAAGCAAGCCTCATGTTCGCTTCCAGCTGCCTGGCTGCCGGCCGCCATCTTGGCTGACAGTTAATTTGCATAAGGATATGCTGATTAGCCAATGGGAAGGGTAGCGGTCGTACGCTAATTACCATGTTTCTCTTTTATTAGTGTAGATTTTACCACATTGCCTTATCATTCTCTCTTTGTGTGTGTTTCTTTCTCGACCACCTGAGATTAGTTTGCAGACATTTTGCTCCATTACCCCTTAATATCTCAGTATGTACAGTATTTACTAAAAACAGGGATACCCTCCTATATGACCACAGTACAACCATCAAAATTAGGAAATAAACATTCATTTTACCACTAATCTATAGATCACATTCAGATTTCACTGATTGTCCTAAAAAATTCCTTCATAAATTGCATTTGGTTATCATGTCTCATCTCCTTGCAAACCAAAACAATTCCTCTCTTTCCTTATCCTTCATGAACTTGATACTTTTTTTAAAATAAGTCTTTATTGTTCAGATTATTACAGTTGTTCCTCTTTTTTCTCCCCATAGCTCCTCTCCACCTGGTTCCCACCCCACCCCATGTCCTTACTCCCCCCATTGTCCTCGTCCATAGGTGTTCGATTTTTGTCCAGTCTCTTCCCGCACCCCCCACACCCCCGTCCCCCTGAGAATTGTCAGCACACTCCCTTTCCATGCCCCTGATTCTATTATATTCACCAGTTTATTCTGTTCATCTTTTTATTCACTTGATTTTTAGATTCACTTGTTGATAGATATGTATTTTTTGTCATTTTGTTGTTCATAATTTTTACCTTTACTTTTTTCTTCTTCTTCCTCTTCTTAAAGAATAACCTTCAGCATTTCATATAATACTGGTTTGGCGGTGATGAACTCCTTTAGTTTTTTCTTATCTGTGAAGCTCTTTATCTGACCTTCAATTCTAAATTATAGCTTTGCTGGGTAGAGTAATCTTGGTTGTAGGTTCTTGCTATTCATCATTTTGAATATTTCTTGCAACTCCCTTCTGGCCTGCATAGTTTCTGTTGAGAAATCAGCTGACAGTCGTATGGGTACTCCCTTGTGGGTAACTAACTGTTTTTCACTTGCTGCTTTTAATATTCTCTCTTTGTCTTTTGCTCTTGGCATTTTAATTATGATGTGTCTTGCTGTGGTCCTCTTTGGATTCCTTTTGTTTGGGGTTCTCTGCGCTTCCTGGACTTGTAATTCTATTTCTTTCACCAGGTAGGGGAAGTTTTCTGTTATTATTTCTTCAAATAGGTTTTCAATATCTTGCTCTCTCTCTTCTGGCACCCCCATAATTTGGATGTTGGTATGCTTGAAGTTGTCCCTGAGGCTCCTTACAGTATCTTCATATTTTTGGATTTTTCTTTCTTTTTGCTTTACCAGTTCGGTGTTTTGTTTTTTTTTTGCTTCTTCGTATTTCAAATCTTTGACTTGATTCTTGGGATCCTCTAGTCTGCTGTTGGATCTCTGTATATTATTCATTTCAGTCAGTGTATGCTTAATTTCTAATTGGTCTTTTTTCATATCCTTGAGGGTCTCACTAAATTTCTCGGAGGTTTCTAGAAGATTCTTAAGTAACCTTATAACCGTGGCTTTGGACTCTATATCCAGTAGTTTGCTTTCCTCCATTTCTTTTTTTTTAACAGCTTTATTGAGATATAATTCACATACCATATACTTTCTTATCCATATACAGTGTACAATTTAATCGTAGTATTATCATAGAGTTGTGCAACCATTCATCATAATAATTAATTAGATGATTTTCATCAATAAAAAAAAAACACAACAACACAAAGCTCAACACCTTTTAGCCATCATTCTCAATCTCTCCATCACCTCCAGCCCTGGGAAGCATTCATCTTTTTGTCTCTCTAGATTTGCCTATTCCAGACATTTCACATAAATGGAGTTACATGATACATGGTCCTTTTTGACTGGTTTCTTTTACTTTACATATGTTCGTCCATTCTGTAGCAGTACTCCATTCTTTGTGGCGATATAATTGTTCATTGTATGGATATACCACATGTTATATTTACTGGTTCATCCCTTGATAAAATTTGGGTTGTTTTTGTGTTCTGGTTATCATGAATATTGCTGCTATAAACATTTGTACACAGTATTGTGTAGACACCTTTTCATTTCTTTGGGGTATATAGTTGGAATAGAATTGCTGATCATATGGGAATTCTCTGTCTAGTCATTTGAGAAATTGCCAGGTTGTTTTAAAAACCAAAGGCACCATTTCATATTCTGCAAGACACTAAAAATATATATTTCTGGCCAATCTAACCAAAAATAGGTATAATTTTGTAAATTTTCATTTACACAGCACAACTATTGATATGTTGACTGTTGTCATTTTTTATGTGACAGCCTAAGGAAAAAAAGGTCAGTGCCCCTGACTAAATAGTCAGGTTTCCATGTTTTACACATTCTTGCAACACACTGATCAAAAATTGCTGCCATAGGACAATTTCCAGACACTTGAAATTCTTTAATAATGTCAATCAGTTTTGCTTGTTTTACTGGGGAGAGGCTATGGAGCTTCTCATGCTTTCAAGTGGAACCAAAGAATTTTTTTAACATAAAA